CTGAAGAAGTCCTGGTGGCTTCAGAGTGGGCGGAAGTGGTCGAGGAGGCAGGCTGGGCGGGATCTTCTCTGGCAGGCCTGTACCTGACGACACCTGATCCTAGCAACTAAAGGATAAAGAAATGGAATTTGGGTGGCGTGAAACAAAAGTCATCGCTCTGAGACTGCCCCTTGCTGGAGAAGGAAGCTCCTTCCTGACAGTTCCCCTCCGCAGACAGACATCCTCCAGAAGAGCTGTTTCAGAACAACCTTCTTACAAGGCCCTTTGGGCGTCTGTTAAATTACAACAGGTTGCAGCTCACAAACAAGTGCCCACAGTGGGGTGGAGGCAGGTATAAAGTTAAACTGAGGGCTTGCTTTAAAGCCAGTTAGGAGGGAATAGAATTTACCAATACAGAAACACATGGGAAGACGTTTGTGTCAAATTCCCACACCAACAGCTTTCCTTTAGTGGAAGTTCTTGGTAGCTGAGTGGGTGCAGGTGTGGGGAAAGAAGGAGGAAGAAATTAGAGGGGTTAATGTGGTGTCTTGGTGTTGTTTCATTCTGTTTCAATTCCGAGAGAAAGAGTTGTTACAGCTCTAAAAAGAATTAAATTAAGATGGCCACTATGTAAAAGTGTTTGGGGACATGGGCTTGAATGTAATATGAAAAAAGTGCTGGGCTTGGTGGGGTGCACTCCAGAGGCTGAGGCAGGAAGATAACTTGGGCCCAGGAGTTCAAGAGCAGCCTGGGTAACGTAGTGTGACACCACCTCAAAAACAAAAAACAAAGTAATATGCAAAAATAAAAATAACTGTGTTGGGGAGGTAAGATTATGATTTCCTCCCAATTCCTTAATACTGTACTTTCTTCTTTGTAGAGCTGAGGTCTCACTATGTTGCCCAGGCTGGTCTCAAACTTTTGGGTTCAAGTGCTCCTCCTGTCTCAGCCTCCCAAAGTGCTGGGATTACAGGTGTGAGCCACCTCACGTAGCCAGTATTTTTATATAAATGTTTTCAAATTTTGCATCCTGGCTGTCTTGTTAACTTGGTCTTATAAAATCACCATTTCATTGCAGTTCCCCAAAACTCTTGCTTGTTGTCCATCACAGCAGTTTTTAGGACAGCAAAACACAGGAAACCATCTAAATGTTTTAGAGGACAGATTATTTAAATGGACTGTGGTCCAGTCATAGCAATGAAAACTACACAGCTATTTAAAAAGGAAGACACAGATCTGAATGGTGGATACGATATAATCACCCAGAGAAAGTGAAGAAAGGCAGGTGGAGGGCTTGGGTCTAGTTTGAGAACATATAAACATGCAAACATGCGCCGATTTGTGACATTTTCTGGAAGTATTCCCAAGAACGTTAGTAATAGTTACTTCAACCTGGTAAAGACAAGTCAGGGTCTGAGGTGAATGGCAGATTTGCTTTTCACAATATGAACTCCTAGACTGCTTTGAACAGTATGTTTACATATTACAAATTCTAAATGATATATTGTTATCACTTTGATAACTGTTAACTTTCTAGGCAACGCTCTAAGGGTATTCTTCCAAAGTGGTTTGAAGATAGAGGAAAAGTCCCATTCTTTCCAAAAGTCCTATTCTTGCCCCATACTTAGAAAACAGACAATCTGATTATGCCTACAGTTGTCAAAATGTGGAGGCAATGTGCGAAAAAACTAAATATGCTCATCTTTCAGAGGGAGATCTACTGAGTTATATTGAGATACACAGACTAAGTGCAGCTGAAGAACTGGGTCAGCCTCCCACCAGGCCCTCCCAAATAAGCAGCAAGGGATGAGCTGTTCACTCTTCCTCCTTGGAGGGCCCAGGGGCGCTTTGCACCTCAAAAGATACACATCACTCCAGATCCACAGAGCCACCCCAAAGCCTGGGTATCATGTTATCTCCAAAGAGTCTGCACAGGGTTTGCCCCAAGCCATTCCCAGGTCTCTTTGAGTCCAAATCAGTATTCTAGAGCTTTCTGGAACCAAAACTGTGCTTGGCTAGAGAGGGTTGACTTGAATAAGCAGGTCACTTAAACACATTCTAGACTCAATGTATGGGGCCCTCTGCCAGATGACAGAGGAACCCAGGAGTGCACTTGGACATTCTGACCACTTTTCCACAGGACATGTCACCTTCGCTTTCAAAACTTCTCTTTGCTTTCACACATTTCAAGTTCCAGTGACAGGATGTTTCACTCTAAGTTCATGAGAAAGGATGGCAAAATCTTTCTGCCATTCCCTCCTAGGCATCTCAGCCTGAAGGATATTCAGAGTTACTAAGACCAAGGAAAATCCAAGACGGTGGGCAAGGCATTGCCTCTCATGGAGGACTTCATGCCCAGGATGAGGAGGCACAGCGTTTGGTCTAGGCCCCCTGAGAGGGAAAATCTACTGGCTCTGAGATACTCTGGAGCTGAATAATGGCAGATTTGGACAATAAAGAATAGGAGAGGGAGGCCGAGCGCGGTGCCTCATGCTTGTAATCCCAGCACTTTGGGAGGCTTAGGCGGGCGGATCATGAGATCAGGAGTTCGAGACCAGCCTGGCCAAGATGGTGAAACCCCATCTCTACTAAAAATACAAAAAAAAGAAATTAGCCGGGTGTGGTGGCAGGTGCCTATAGTCCCAGCTACTCAGGAGGCTGAGGCAGAAGAATCGCCAGAACCCAGGAGGCAGCGGCTGCAGTGAGCTGAGATCACGCCACTGCACTCCAGCCTGGATGACAGAGACTCCATCTAAAAAAAAAAAAAAAATAGGCTGAGCACAGTGGCTCACACCTGTAACCCCAGCATTTTGGGAGGCTGAGGTGGTTGGATCACAAGGTCAAGAGATCAAGACCATTCTGGCCAACATGGTGAAACCCCATCTCTACTTTAAAAAACACAAAAAATTAGCTGGGCATAGTGGCACATGCCTGTAGTCCAAGCTACTCGGGAAGCTGAGGCCGGAGAATCGCTTAAGGAAGCAGTGAGCCAGGATTGTGCCACTGTACTCCAGCCTGGCAACAGAGTGAGACTCCATCTCAAAAAAAAATTAAAAAATAAAATAAAATAAAAAATAAAAGAATAGAAGATATAATGGGCCTCAGTGGGAAGATGGCAGGAGGGACCACAGAGTGCTGGTCTTCAGTGAAGATGCCACACAGCAGACACACAAGGGTCGGGTCACAGGGCACAGTGTGGGATGGCCTGACCTAGCCAGCCCATTCCTTCCCCAAACAAGCTGCCCCAAGGAACTTAAAAGGGAAGTATTCCTTGACTAGGCTAAAAATCACTTGTGTTTAACACATTTCCTCATCATTTCTGACACGGATGAAGAATACTTGTTTGGGATGTCCCGTGTCACTAACACACATACTAAGCCAGCCAGCGTGGTCTATTTTGGATTTTTACTCATCAGCTAGGCCGTGTGTGTGTGCGCGTGCCTTTGCCCCGTACTCTCCCTGATCTCTGTTCCATAGCCTACTAGAACCCCCTCAGTGGCACAGGACAAGAAAAAAAAAGCCCACTTAGAATCCATTCTGGTACATGCTTTTACTTCTAAACCAGTGGCTAAAATGGTATCTGTGAATTTGATTAGCTATGCTTGGCCCCATGACCACAAATAATCCAAAACTGGCTAGACTTCTAAGAAGTCAATTTCTTCACTGCCCTCTCTCTGCTTGTTAAGTGATCTCGATAGCTTGTAACCAGAAGGCCTCTTTACTGAATGACCTAGAGGGTGACACGTATGAACTTAAGTTGGGGAGAAGTCCCAGTCTCCTGCCTACCATATCTAACTCTGTCCCCACAATGGATGCACTGAACTTTCCTTAGTTTTATTGCCACTGTGGAGCTTTCTCACAGGGTTAGGTTTTATTTTACTTATTTTTTAACATTTCATTATCTCATTAATCTTTTCTCCAGATTTTCCACAATGCACTCAAAGTCTGAAACTCCAAACTGGACTGCAGAGTCTGGGAGTCCCCTTCCCTCCCAGCTTCCACAGGGTCTCCTTTCCTTGGTAGATCCCAGCACTCCAGCTGCTGGCCACACAGGCTATACATGCCAGCCTGCGGGCAGCTGCTGACTCATGCTCACTCTGGGATTTGCTTGGACCCCAGCACTTCTGCTCTCCAGCCACAACAGCCACCACCCACCTCAAAGAGCACTCTATCCATCACCTTCTGGGGTCTCAGCTCTGATCTGATCGGTCCCCCACAGGTCTGCCTTGTTTTACCTGGCCCTGCCCCATCCCTTATGCCCACCTGGAAGACGTCGTTGGCACACTTGCGGCACAGGTTGTGTTGGCAGGGCAGGATCACCACCGGTTTGGAGAACATCTCCAGGCAGATGGGGCAGATGAGCTGCTTCTCCAGGTTATCCATGCTGTGTGCATCCCCTAGCAGCGGCTTGAAACCCACTGTGAAGTTCATCCCCTCGATGGTCGCACCTGCCCTGGCCTGGGCCCTGTTCCTGGCCTTCACTCACTGTCTGCAGACCCTTCCTCGCTTAGACAGCCTGTGGATTCCCTTCTGTGGCGCACTCTTGAAATAGCACTGCTATCTCTCCTGTCCCTTTCTTTAACAACTTGTCTCGTCCCAGAGAGCAGTCTTTAGACACTTGTCTTTCTCTACTTTCTGCTCTGCACCCTCGCCAGGCTCACGTAGTTTTATCTATCCCTTTCTCTGTAAAATTCTCCTGTTTCCTAAATGACCCTCTCTTGTTCACTCTGTGGGTAGCACTGTTTGTCCCTTACTCCCCAGAGACAAGATTAATTTTACTGTGGGGGTGGGGAGACAAGGGGCATCTGCATGACATTCCAATTCCCAATTTAGCTCATGTAAGGCGAGCCACAGCTGTCACAGAGTGAGTGACCCTGACTCACTCAGGAATGGGTGACTCCCTTGAGCAAGAGCAGGGGCAAGCACCACTGCTTACGGTGAAAGGTGGGTCAGCAAAGGGTCTGCCCTCTCACTCTGAAGGCTCCTCTGAGCCCGGGAACCCTGCTCTGGCTTGGGCCTTTCTTCCAGGACCGGGACACAGAATCTAAATCGGCCTGTGTGAGAGGCACCCATACATAGCTTAGGGTGGGAGGAATGATCCTGCCAGACTTAGAGTCAGTAACAGTTTCCTCCTCCACAGGCTCAGCCAGTGACCCAGGTCCTCCTCCTCAAGACTCTGTGATTCAGAACAGCAGCTCGAGGGATGACATCAAGCCTCTTGTCCAACACCTTGGGCTCATTTTTGTTCTTGCCCAGCCTTTTCTTATATCACCCTAGGAAAAGAAGCTCAAGAGGCTAGAAATGACTGTTGTGCCATAGCCTGGACCTATCTATGAGCATGTCCCTGAGGAAATGTGGGATTCTGGTCCATGAACACATCCCTGGAGCCACTCCAAGGACTTCAAATTTGTTAGGAAATTGGGAGAAGGTGAGCTGGGCAGAGAGGACCTGAATGCCAGGGACCTATTTTGGGCACCCAGGGAAACAATCTCCAGGGAAATTTTAGAGCACTGACAAAGTCATAATCACAAGTCTCTGGGGAGCCTCTGCCCCAGCCCCACAGTTGTTCGGGACTCCTACTTTCCAAGCCAGGCTTGCCCCAGTGTGAGCACTGACTTTTTCTCCTACACGTCTTTTTCTCCACTTGATCTTAGCCAAAGGGCCAAGAAGCAATTTCTTTAGGCCCTTTTTCTTCACCCCAGACACACATAGTTTGTCTTTTTCAGGCCCAACATATGCCTTGGGACTGGACAAAGCTCTTTTATTTACTGACATTCTTTAGCCCTTCTCCCAGTCCAGGGAGAGAAGTTTCAGGAGTTAGTAGGCTGTGACCCTGAGTGGGTGGGAAATACATGGTGTGAAGAGGACACGAAATAGCAGCACAAAAAGGCAAGAGTGGGAAAAGAGTCTGTAAAGTACAGACTTTTCTGGATCACAGATTCCACGCCCCTATTTATAAGAACAAATTATATGTTGATCCGCCTGCATAAGATGTAAAAAGGATGGAGGCAAGCAGGCACTGATGTTTAAACTTCCGTCAACCCACAGGACCAATGCCAACGCATGCTGTGCTCGTAGTTGAGGTCCAAGGAGACTCTAAAGATGGAATGAGTACCCCTGAGCCTCAAATGCACTTGCCGTTTTCCTGAGTTGACTCATAGTGGCATGGAATGAGGCTGGCGATGCCAATGGCCGTGGGCACCAGAAGGTGAGACCAGCTCCATAAAGGCATATTGGCTTAGGAATGAGGATGATGCTAGAGGTTCTTGGTACACAGAGTTGCAACAAGGGAGTTAACTGGAGCAGCAGCTCCTTGGACACGATCCACCCTGCTCAGTTACCAGGCTCTTAGTGGAGCTATCCCAAGGGGCTTGGGGACCCTACCAGCTGGCAGTGGCTCCAAGAACAAGATGGGCACAGGAAAAAGACTCCTCAGGAAAAATCTGCCACCACCGCCTGGGACCTCATAAGGGAAGGGAGGGGAGGGCTGCTTTCTGACAAGTAAAATTGGGACTGCAACTAAAAAGAAGAAGCTGGGCAACCCCATACAGAGTTGTGGTACGAAGGGCAGAGGTGATGCCCTTACTGGGAACAACAGTATCAATGCTTCTGAAGTTGAGATTCTTAAAAGAAGTGGGGTCAAATCAGGGTCAATGTCAGGGCAGGGCAACTTGCTCCTCTCTTCAATGTGTCTAAGGGACTGGGCGCAGAAGGCACTCTCACTGGGTCAGCACCTAGTGGCAGAAGAAGGTGGTGCTTTATTAATCAGGAGAAATAATTACCTAGAATGTAAAGCAAATCCCCACATGTAAGGATATAAACACTCATAGTCCAAACTATAAGGATGTAAACTTTCTACTAATGACTCACATTAAGTTAGCTTACAAGCTTTTCTTTCTTTCTTTCTTTTTTTTTTTTTTTTGAGACAGAGTCTTGCTCTGTTATCAGACTGGAATGCAGTGGTGTGATCTCCACTCACTGCAACTTCCAACTCCCTTGTTCAAGCAATTCTGCCTCAGCAACAGCTGAGATTACAGGCACACTCTACCACGCCCAGATAATTTTTGTATTTTTAGTAGAGACGGGTTTCACCATGTTGGCCAGGATGGTCTCAATCTCCTGACCTTGTGATCTGGCTGCCTTGGCCTCCCAAAGTGTGGGATTATAGGCATGAGCCACAGCACCCGGCCTATATGCTTTTCTTATCTGGTAACTATTGCTGCTTTTCAGTTTACATATCTCATCCTTTTTCATCTCTTAAAAATCATCTTCGCTATTTTCCTCTCTTTTAAAATCACGTTTGGCTAATATGATGGAATTATACATATGTTTACATACATAAACATTTAGTAACTTTTTATAGTCTACTGATGAGAAAACCATTACCTTGTAGTTACTCATTAGCATCACTAGGTGGCAGTAGTGTGAAGTTCAATCAGCTTATAAACAGTTTATTTGGGGTGGGAATGCTCCTTTCTTTTCTTTTTTTTTGGATATAGGATCTTGCTCTGTCACCCAGGCTGGAGTGCAGTGGCATGATCAAAGCTCACTGTAATCTCAGCCTCCCAGACTCAAGTGATCCCCCCACTTCAGCCTCCCCAGTACTGAGACTACAGGTGCACACCACCATGCCTGGCTAACTTCTGTACTTTTTTGTAGAGACTGGGTTTCACCATGTTACCGAGGCTGTTCTCAAACTCCTCAGCTCAAGTGATCCGCCAACCTTGGCTTCCCAAAGTGCTGGAATTACAGGCACAAGCCACCGCAACTGGCCCTTTCCTTCGGGTAGATGGAAAAAATTGCATCCCGCTGGGCACAGTGGCTCACACCTGTAATCCCAGCACCTTGGGAGGCCAGAGTAGGTGGATCGTCTGAGTAGATTGCTTGAACCTGGGAGGTGGAGGTTGCAATAAGCTGAGGTCACGCCACTGCACTCCAGCCTGGGCAACAGACTGAGATTCTGTCTCAACAACAAATTGCATTCTGAAATCTGTTTCACCTGCTGTCTTTTCTAGAGATAATCTCCCAAACCATTCCTTAGCTTAACAAGAGATGATAACACTACATTCAAACTGTCAGTTTGTTGTGTAAGGTGCACAAACACATACTGATCTTTTTTTCTTCACTTTGTCCCAGTGCCAGACTTGAAATTGTCATATTTAGGGGTTAACCTGCCATTTTCATAGGTTTTTCTTACCCCCAAATCATTTCTTTCTTTTTTTTTTCTTTTGAGACAGAGTCTCACTCTGGTGCCCAGGCTGGAGTGCAATGGCACGATCTTGGCTCACTGCAACCTCTGTCTCCTGAGTTCAGGCAATTCTCCTGCTGGAGCCTCCCAAGTAGCTGGGATTACACGTGTGTGCCACCATGCCTGGCTAATTTTGGTATTTTTAGTAGAGATGTGATTTCGCCATGTTGGCCAAGCTGGTCTCAAATTCCTGACCTCAGGTGATCTACCTGCCTCGGCCTCCCAAAGTGCTGGGATAAAGATGTGAGTCATGGTGCCCAGCCCCAACCATTTCTTTCATTCTCAATCCAGATATTTCTTACCTCATAGTCCCTGCCTACAGTTCTCACCTGACCTTGGAGGCTGACTCTGGACATTCTGCTGATATTTTCTCCCACTATCCTGCTCAGGTGGGGGTTTAAGTGTTCCACAGCAAAAACAGCAGCAACAACAGAAACAGCAACAAGTGAGCAGTGTACACAGGATGACAAGTGTCTAAAAGGTAGGCGAGAATGGCCTCAGTCCGGCAGTTTTCTATATGACTGTTCAAGCTTCCCTCCCTCAATCCTCCTGGCACCCAGAAAATGAGACAACAGAAGCATTTGTCCTAAGGAGAGGAAGGTCACCCTTCTTTCCTTATTCTTAAAGGAGGCTGGAGAATTGTGTACCTTGAACCAACAACTATTCATGATAAAATAGTATCTGACGCCTTCTTCACCAAGGTGATCATACAGATATAGTCCCAATGAGCCATGCCGGTCATAAATTTTCTGCTTCTTAGAGTCGCTCAGTATGGCGTGAGCTGTGTTGATCTCTTTGCATATTTCTGCTGCTTGAGCGTCCCCTGGATTCTTGTCGGGATGATACTGCAAGGTCAGTTTCCTACCTAGACAATACCCAAAAGGAGGGTGGGGAAGCAATGGGAAATGTCTGGGGAAGGAGGGTTAGAATGAATGAGAGGGATTAGTCTCTATAGAGTATAGAAGGAATGCATGAGATGTGGTACAAAGGATGGAGGCAAGCATCCAAGGTCTAAAGTCCTTCCCATACCATAATGAAGAGGGTGATGGCCCCATTTGGCCCCAAAGTGAAGGCTTGTTGGGACTTAAAAATGGGTCATAGGGCCAGATACAGTGGTTCATGCCTGAGATCCCAGCACTTTGGGAGGCTGAGGCAGACAGATCACAAGGTAAGAAGTTCGAGACCAGCCTGGACAACATGGTGAAACCCCATCTCTATTAAAAATAAAAAACAATAGCCAGGTGTGGTGTCAGGTGCCTATAATCCCAGCTACCCCGGAGGCTGAGGCAGGAGAATCACTTGAACTCAGGAGGTGGAGGTTGTAGTGAGCCAAGATCACGCCACTGCACTCTCAACAGTCTCTGTCTCTGCTCTGTGACAGAGGGAGACTTCCTCTCCCCCACCCTTCCCCTGCAAAAAAGTCAGGAAGCAGAACAGATACAGAAAGAAAAAGGTTTAAGGGGGAAATTCCAAGGATCAATAAGGGCTGAGGTCTGAACCTGTAGGACTTTTTGATGTCTTCAGGTGAGGTACCCTTCTTAAGCTCCAGCACTGCATAGAGGCTTGTCCCACTTTTGGACAGCCGGCGAGCTGCTTGATTCACGGTAGACATGATCTGAGCCAGAGGAGAAGCAGCATCTGTGAGAACTCCCACAAGTAAGGGCATGGAAAAATGAACTTCCAGTGACAGGAAACTCACTACCTTCAGAGATTAGGCAGGTAAATGATGACAGAAGGGCAAGGATAAGATAACGGTGAGTGGGATCTGAGACTAGCAGGAGAATTCAGGTGATCAGAAAGATTCAAATTTTAAGGAGGAAACATCTTCTCCTCAAATTTCTCAGCATCCTCCAGCTACACAGACCTCCAGACAACCCACATCCTAGAGAAGCTGTAAGCAAGGAGAGGTCTAAGGCATGAGAAGAGTCTGATTTTGCCTAGAGCTCCTATTACCTGGAGTAGACACCTCTGGTCTGTCCAAGCTCACTGCTGGGTTTGAAAGACCAGGGCGGCCCCAGCCTGAACACACTGGATCAGCAATCGGAAAGATCCACAACTATTAAGAGAGAAACACTTCAGACCAAACCGTGTGCGGCCTAACAGAAGTCAGGTGTCCAAGAGCTGGCGGCGGGTGGGAACTGCTTGCAGCTAGGCCTGGCCTTGCTTCTTCCCTCCAGTCTCCTGCTCTCAAACCACCCAACGTCTGTCCCTCAGAGGTGGGGCAGTGGGGAGAGGAGGAGGAGGACTCAGGCTGGAGAAGGAAGAGGAAAGGGGTTGCTGCGGGAAAAACCTGGCGAGGAACAGGCAGCAGACCCCCAGAGAGCAGGGTAGAGGCCTGCGGCCCAGGAGAACCAAGCAAGGCAAGGGGCTCAGAGGGAGAGCTCTGAGTGTGCAGGGCTCCTCTGGCCCTGTGCCGACTCCTCGCCTGGGTCTGGCCCTTTACCTGGAATCCGTTCTCTTAAGCCAGGTGGGTGCCCTTCATCCTCCTGGGTGTGAAACTTCACACCGGCCGAGTCCAGCAGGTGACTGCGCTTGCGAGCTGCCTCGACGCTGCGGGCAGGGCAAGTCGTTTTTTGGCGCCCCCGGAAGTACTGGGTGGGGAAGCTACGTTGGCCCTGGGACTTATTTCGCGCACAGGGAAGTGAGAGCGTGGGGCTCAGCCGACCTGCGGCCCAGGGCAGCGGAGGGGCGTTGCTGCCAGGCTTTGGGGCAGGGATTCCGCCGAGCCCCTCTCCTCCAGCAGGAGGGCACCACCCATCTTGATGGCCCAGCTCACTCCAGGAAACACTATAGGCTTGCTGACCGTGGCGGATGAGAGGTATGGCTGCTGCATGCCCTTCTCAAGAGGTGTGTTACCTTCCCAGTCGTCTTCAGTACTTACGGCTCTCTGCTTGGTCTCTCCTTCCTTTCCACCTGGAAACACCTCCCCCCAACCTGTAAGCCCCAACTCATATGCCCCTGTTCTTGACCCTCCAACCTTCACTCTCCCAGTTGTTCCCACTTCGTCTGTCAAAGCATTTCTCCTATTACATTGTAATGACGAGTTTCCACGTCTCATTAAAATGATGTCTTGAGCCTTTTCCAAGCCACTACCATGCTTCAGAAACTTCACTTAAGGCCGGATGCTGTGGCTCATACTTGTAATCCCAGCACTTTGGGAGGCCAAGGCAGGAGGATCACCCGAAGTCGGGAGTTAGATCAGCCTGGCCAGCATGGTGAAACCCCGTCTCTACTAAAAATACAAAAATTATCTGGGCGTAATCCCAGCTACTCGGGAAGCTGAGGCAGGAGAATTGCTTGAACCCGGGAGGCAGAGGTTTCAGTGAGCCGAGATTGCACCACTGCACTCCAGCCTGGGTAACAGGACAAGACTCCGCCTCAAAAACAAAAACACAAACACTTCACTTAAATATGATGCCATCATGAGCATGTCCCATAATGTAATCCGACTTGGGTGTTTCAGTTGTTTCTATTCGATAGTATAATAACCTCATAATGAAAATTCAACAGAAATCCTTGAACAAATCTCAAATTTTTTCCTAAGGATAGAATCTTGGAAGTGTAATTATTGGGTCAAATGGGTTTTTTTTTTTTTTTTTTTTGCACTCTTGATCTCTATTGCTAACTTTCTTCCGGAAAGGTAGCGGAAGGAGGAGTTTGTATCCTCACCTGCAGGTGTGGGAGCATGCCTCTACCTGGTCTTCCTTCCTACAAGAGGTAGTCTTTGCATCACTTATAATTTACCACTTTGTAGTTCTGGTTTTCTTTACAGAGCACCCAGTGGCTCCTTAACATGTTGTAGAAAAAGCTTTATTACTTGGAAAATGCTTATCTGTTAACCCTCTTGTAGCTTTTGTCACTCTCTTCATTACAGTTATTTGTGCACATTTTCCTCCCCTTGTAGGTTGGGTTTTTTGTTTGTTTGTTTTTTGTTTTGTTTTGAGATGGAGTCTCACTCTGTCACCCAGGCTGGAGTGCAGTGGTGCAATGTCGGCTCACTGCAACCTCCGCCTTCCAAGTTCAGCCTTACAAGTAGCTGGAATTACAGGCACCAACCACCACACCTGGCTAATTTTTTTTTATTTTTAGCAGAGATGGGGTTTCACCATGTTGGCCTGGCTAGTTTCGAACTCCTGACCTCAGTGATATGCCTGCCTTGGCCTCCCAAAGTGCTGGGATTACAGTCATGAGCCACTATGCCAGTCCCCCTTGTAGGTTTTAAATAGTAAATCAGTATTCCACCTCAAGAGCTAATCTAAGCAATGAACTAAGGAGTCCATCTGCAGCAGACACGATGACTGCTGAATTAATGAATTTATTTCTGTAGGTCTGTGATCAGTGCAGGGACAGGGGATGAAGACCTTTGCATCACCCACCGAGTCCATAGGCTCTGGGTCAGATGAGTTTATAGGTTACTCATCTAAATAGAAGCTGAAGCTGATAATTTTTTGGTGGCTTGTCTCATGCCAAATTTCTCTAACTAACCCCTAACCTCTTATCACTATCATGGGATGACAGAACTAGCAGAACAAGCCAGCTCATGTCTTCCCCATCACTGGGTAGGGAGAGCAGAAGATATTAGAAGTGCACTTACAATGAATTCCTTGCCTCAGTCTGTAACACCCAGCGTGGTCCTGCCCCTGCCTTTCATTCCAATCTTTTCTGGAACCATTGTCCTGCTTGCTCTGGTCTCCGTGCTACCGCTTTCCTCTTTTCTTGTGAGTTATTTGAAAACATCGTGTTCCCTCCCATTTCGAGAGCCTGTGACCATGTTGTTCCCTCTGCCTGGAGGGCTTGACCTCTCATCCTTCAGGGATCTCAGCTTCAGGCCTCCTCAGACAGGCCTTCTAAACTGGGTTCTACTCCTCTCTGCTCACCTCATAACATCCTGCAAAATACATATGTGTATATATGTGTACGTGTGTGTATATGTGTGTGTGTGTGTGTGTGTGTGTGTGTGTATAGAGAAGATCTCAGTCTGGAGTGCAGTGACACAATCACAGCTCAGCAGCCTCAGCTTCCTGGGCTCAAGCCATCTGCCCACCTCAGCCTCCCAAGAAGCTGGGACTAAAGGCATGCACCACCATGCCCAGCTAATTTTTGTATTTTTGGTAGAGACAGCGTTTCATCATGTTGCCAGGCTGGTCTTGAACTCCTGAGCTCAAGCAATCTGCATGCCTTAGCTTCCCAAAGTTCTGGGATTATAGGTGTGAACCACTATGCCTGGCTGGTGAACATATTTTATTTTTATTTTTTTAAAAAGAGCTTCACTCTTGTTGCCCAGGCTGGAGTGCAATGGCATGATCTCAGCTCATTGCAACCTCCCATCCTGGGTTTGAGGGATTCTCCTGCCTCAGCCTCCTGAATAGCTGGGATTACGGGTTCCCAACACCATGCCCAGCTAATTTTTTTTAACTTTTAGTAGAGACGGGGTTTCATCATGTTGACCAGGCTGGTCTCAAACTCCTGACCTCAGGTGATCCACCCCCCTCGGCCTCCCAAAGTGCTGAGATTACAGGCATGAGCCACCGTGCCCAGCCTGGTGAACATATATTTATTTGTGTCTTGATTTAGAAGCTGCCTTTCCAGATGACAGCTCCATGAGGGCAGGGACCTTGTTTGTTTGTTGACCACTGTATCCCCAGCACCTAGAGTCATGCCTGACTCACATAATTGAATGAATGATTAGTTGAACGAGCTATAGCTGAGGGAGCCCTCTGCCGATCCAGTGTAACCTGGAGGTTGGGCCCAGAATTCCCTGGGACAGAAGCACTTAGCTAGGGAATTGGACAAGACTACAGGGCCTATCTTCCCCATATGGTCCTAGACAAGAGGAGACCACAAAACAGAAAGAAGGCAAGAGGGGAGATAACAATGTGATTTGGAACTCCCTGTTTCTTGTTTGTCTTAGTATTCCCTCCAGTTCCTTCCTGTGTTCAATGAATGTTGGTTGGCTGAATGAACAAGCAAGAGTGTGTGAGGCTTTTCCGAGACACTCTGACCTATCTCCTGAGAGGCAGTGGCATTCCTGCTTCATAGAAGAAGTGAGCCCTGAGAAAGAAGGCAAATTCGGTTCTGAGAAGAGTTAGTAAACACCTTTTGCATCTTGCCAGAGGCTATAGAATGTTTCCACTTTTTATCATTGCCCTCTGACATTCTAATTAATCACAGTTCAGGGCTCTTGAAAGAGCTATTATCTGTAAGTCTTGTGAGGCTCTGCTCCAAATAGAATGTCACTTCAGCCGGGAAGCTGCAGAGATGGGAGTAGCACAGGCCAGTCAGCCTGGCATCCTTTGGCCAGTGGCTCTCCTCTTTGCCTTTACCTAGAAATTAGAGCCTCTTTGAGTGTTCTGTGCCTCAGGTCTCTTCTCACACCCAGCACAGTCCAAGGAAGAACATACAAGCTAGGGGTCAGAAGCCCTAGATCTTAGCTCTGGCTGTGGCTCTCATAGGTTGTGTGATCTTGGACAGATCAGTTCATCTCTGAGTCTATTTTTCCTCTTCTGTAAAAACCTGTGCCATTTCTCAGGGTAGATGTCAAGACTTAATTGGGGGCCTGGGCGCGGTGGCTCACGCCTGTAATCCCAGCACTTTGGGAGGCCGAGGCAGGTGGATCACCTGAGATCAGGAGTTCAAGACCAGCCTGGCCAGCATGGTGAAACCCTGCCTCTACAAAAATACAAAAAAAAAAAAAAAAAAGTTAGCCAGGCATGATGGCAGGTGCCTATAATCCCAGTTACTCCAGAGGCTGAGGTAGAAGAACCACTTGAACCCGGGAGGTGGAGGTTGCAGTGAGCCAAGATCGTGCCATTGCAATCCAGCCTGGGTGACAGAGCAAGACTCCATCTCAAAAAAAAAAAAAAAAAAAAAAGACTTAATTGGATTTGGCTGGCTTTTAAAAATATGAAAAAAAACCCCACAAATTTCTATGCCAAAGAATGATTACAGACTGAAACCATTTCTTGGATCATTTGCCCTCCCATCATACCTTGAGTCAGTGATCTTACCATGTACTACCGTCCAGAGCCATTTGGTCTCTCATGGAGAAAACCAGGAAGCATCCCTTGTTTACCTACAAACAACCAAAGTTTTAGTCATATATCTGGAATACACATACAGACAGCAGACACTGGCATATTTATACCCAAAATACCACGCTCTGGAACATATGCAGTGGGAGAGAGAGAGATCATAATTTGTCACATTCAACCACCAGGTTCTCGAGTTGTACAGTTTTTGGGCTAGAAGCGACCTCAGAGATTTAACACTAATCCAATGCCTTTGTTTTATAATTGAAGAAAGCACAGCCCAGAAAGATGGATTGACCTGCTTAAGGTTATCCAGTGAGAACTGACCTGAGTTTTCTGACTCCAGTTTCAGTATCTATACCGAGACTCCTTCTTCCTACTTTAAAATCCAAGTCTATAGACAGACCAGAGCTGTGGGGGATATTCACATCCTCTCCTGGGTGATGTCAGTAATGTCCCTTCTTCCCCTCCCCCAGCAGAAGGCATGTATACTACATGTGACCAAACCCACCACCACCAGCCCAGTTGTTTCCCTCTGCTTCCCAGGCCAGACATCCCAGGGTGCGAGGTAGAGGGCTTTCAGCTAGAAAGGAGACGGCTTCATGTCCCTGCCCTCTCTGACCTGCAAACCCAGACTTTGCAGACCTAACACTAAGCTAACAGCACCTGTCTCATCTGTAAAAAGGGGACAATAGTGTCTGTCTTTCCTGGTTGTTATGAGGATTAAATTTGAATAAAGCCTAAGGCACATGCTTTATTATTATTACTATTATTATTATACTAGATATTTCTGTCCTATCTTCTAATTTTTTAAGGAGAGAGGTTATGTTTCATTTTGTCTCATGAAGAAGGGAAAAATCAGGATCCTTCCCCTCCCCTAAGATTTGCAAATTGTCATTGGTATCTTTCCATCCTTCTACATCCTTCTCCCCAGCCTCTTAGAACTCCATTTTCTTGTACCCCCACTTAGTGCCACCATGCTGCCCTCTGGCTAATCAAAACACCACCCCGAGTCTTCCCAAGCAGCCAGATTTCCAAAATTACCACTCTCATTTCCTCTGATTTTAATACTTCTAATAAAAACTATTGCTTTCATAGAATGATCGCATCCCTCAGGGTAGGTAGAAAGTAATCTTATTAAAACACTGTAATTTAGATTATAGTGAAAAAGACAGTTAATACTTCACCCTCTTAATTGTCATTAATGCAAAAGGAATTACAGGTAGATTTGACAGAATGACCAAATGGAAAGTAAAACATCAGATTATGTTTTGGGAAGAAACTTTGGCCCTGAAATCACTTCTTTCTGTTCAACCTGCCAACTGTCTTCTTATTTCTTGAGCTCTGCACCTTTGTCTGGCTCTCTTCCTACATCTCTGATATGTTTGCCGTTTCCCTTACTGGCTCCTCTTCCTTCTCTCACCTCCTGACTGTGCATTTTCTCTGCAGCTTGCTTGCTCCTTAAGCTTCTGCTTATGCTCTATCTTCTCCTCTTCAGAGAGTCAGTTTATACCCATGGCTTCTGCAGTCACAACTGTGCTTTGGTGTCATCTACATGCCAGTGTTCCATTGCCTCAGAACCACACTCCATTGGATGCCACATGCAGGGTTTGTAGAAAAAAAAAGGCCGGGCCTGGTGGCTCAGGCCTATAATCCCAGCACTTTGGAAGGCCCACGCTGGTGGATCACAAGGTCAGGAGATCAAGACCATCCTGGCTAACACAGTGAAACCTTATCTCTACTGAAAATACAGAAAATTAGCTGGGGGTAGTGGCACACGCCTGTAGTCCCAGCTACTCTGGAGGCTGAGGGAAGAGAATCGCCTGAACCTGGTAGGTGGAGGTTGCAGTGAGCCGAGATTGCACCACTGCACCCCAGCCTGGGTGACAGAGCAAGACTCCATCTCAAGACAGAGAAGAAAAAGAAAAACCACACTCTAAAATCTGAATTCATCATGTTGCCTCCAAACTGCTGTTTTTTTGTTTTGTTTCATTTTTTTCTCTATTTCTGTTCATGTTATGACCATTTGAAGATAATGAAGCTCAAAACCCAAGCCTCACTGGGCCGTAGACTTATTCTTTTCTCCAAACTTAGTTTTAAGAAGCTCGATAATTTTTTTTTCAAAATAACTCTTTCATTTGTCTCTTCTCAGTTCCCACAGCTTTGATGCACCCCAGTTGAAGGATTTCCATGTCACGCTGGTGTCCTAGCCTCCTAACTTTTCTCCCTGTTGTCAGCCTCATCCTGGATACTGCTACCAGATCATAGTTCTTAAAGCAGGGCAGGCTGGGTGTGGTGGCTCACGCCTGTAATCCCAATACTTTGGGAGGCTGAGGCGGGCAGATCACGAGGTCAGGAATTCAAGACCAGCTTGGCTACCATGGTGAAACCCCGTCTCTACTAAAAATACAAAAATTAGCTGGGCTTGGTGGCACATACCTGTAATCCCAGCTACTCAGGAGACTGAGGCAGGAGAATCGCTTGAACACAGGAGGCAGAGGTTGTAGTAAGCTGAGATCACACCATTGCACTCCAACCTGGGTGACAGAGTGAGACTCCATCTCAAAAAAAAAAAAAGGCAATGTTTCCGTCATTACTACTTTGCTCATAGCATCATACAAGATGCAAAACGATCTTTGAATCTGGCAGTGAACTCTATGATCTTATGGCAATTTACCCTCCGAACTCATTGTCCACTGTTGTCCTAAAGTGAACTTTTCACAGCAATCAAGCAGGTCTCCTCACTAAATGCTTCTGTTTTTTCTCACCTCTTTACCATTGCCCTCACACCATTTCTCCCCCTAAACTGTCCTTTTCCTTAATTCACATACTCAACAAATATCAACCAAGCACTGGTATATACCTAGTACCTTGGATACAATGATAAGTGGTCAAACTCTTTCCTCCCTCATAGATTAGAGCCTAATATGGGAGACAGAGTTCATTAAGACCTTCAACAAATATTTACTGGGTACTATTATGTATCAGACCTTGTTCTGGGGATACAGCAGCATCCAAAACAGACAGAATTTCTGCCATCATGAAGCTCACATTCTGGCAACAGGGGCAGACATTAAATAAAATGAGTAAAATATTCAGTATGTTAGATGGTAATGATGGCTATGAAGAAAAAGAAAGCAAGGAACGGAGATAGAGAATGTT